CCTAATTTAGCAGTGTAAGACTAAAGGAAAGGCAGCTAGTCATCACCACCCACCGCCAACTCTTGGGCTACTCTTTTACTAAAGATTGCCCGTCACATTATAACGCCCCCACGGCTGAAAGGGCGAGCATGTTTGGTGTGACCTGGGATTCGAACCCGCGACCCGCAGATTGCGAGTCGTGCGCCCTAATCACCTGGCCATGCCGGGCCGGCGGTAAAAAGACAGACGGATACGTAAGGAAAAAATCAAATGCAGGTAAATATAAACAGGCGTATTAGATTTTATCGTGAATCTGTGAAATAAAATTATGAAAAGGGAAAGTTTACAATTGCATAACTTGAATACACAAATACGGGAATGCAAGTAAACACGTTTTTTTTTAAAACTGAAATACAAATAACAAACGTACTTGAGATCTTTCAGTTGTCCTTCAGGTATGATTGAATTTCCTCCCGAGGTCAGCCTCTTTGACAAAACACCTAAAACTATTAAATAACGAGGTTTATTATGTACACAACAAAATTAAACAATATTATACCAGTAAGTATGTTTTACCTAACGCTACCTTCAAAGGTAAACCGTATTATCACGTTCGTAGTTTTGTTTAAGTATAAGTAGAGGGTGGAAATATAAATATACAAGCAGAGGGAAAATATTCGAAATTGTTAATTGCTCCTTCAGACATATTTAAGTGATTATTTATCAGATAAAATACGTATTTTATGCATTTCTATTATATAATTGTAATTAAGAATATGTGTTAGTTTTGAGTACGTTTAAATCACAAGAACCTAACCATGACAAACTGAGATCGCCAAAATAACATGGTATAAAATCTTAATCAACGCATTGGAAGTACTGACGCAATGATAAAAACAACAATGAAAAAGTAAAACAATACTTCCTGAAAACAGGAGTCAATAAAGTCTTAACGTCTTTCGTGTCAGTTTTTTTCTTATTTTATTTTGGAAATGAGCTAAAAGCTAATTTTTTTATTTCGCTTTTTGATTGCTTATCGTAATACATAGCATGATAAATTCGGGCAAATAATTAATTAATACATAAATTTAACTCGAGCAAATATTTTGTGTAACATAGAGTTATCCGGGAAAAATCACAAAGGAATTTGTTTTGTGTTTTTTTTTTTTTAAAGAAGAAATACGAAAGCAGTTCTATCCTGGAGGGAAATATATCCTGAAAAATTAATGACCAAAATTCAAAAAATGGAAAATCTTGAAAACAACAATGAAGAAGCTGCCGATAATAACAGAGGTCAAAGGCCAGGCTGAAGACGACGATAAAATCCTGATAAAAACAGGGGAAAAAAGTACAGGCTGAAAACAGCAATGAACAAAGTCCTAATGAAAATTCTAAAACCAAAATTAACAAAATCGTACGAAAAACAATAAAGAACAGAATCATGCTACAAATTTTCTGTTTATTTGTAGTTAAGCCCAAACTACACAATGGGCTATCTGTACTGTGCCCACTACGGGTATCGAAACCCGGTTTCTAGCGTTTTAAGTCCGCAGACATACCGCCGCGCCACTGGAAGACTCATGGTACAAAATAAACATAAATTCCAAATTTAAAAACTAACAGAATTCAGACCCCAACATGCAAAGATTTTTGAGGGCGAAAATAAAGCTGTAAAATAAATAACAGAAACTTTTCCAGATGTAATGAATAACGGTGAAAAAAAAATCCTGGCCACTAAAAATATTTCGAACTGCAAATACGAACAACAATGAAATAAATCCTGAACATCAGAAGAAAATCTTTAAAATAAATAACCGAAAAAAATTATAAGGACGAAGCGAAACAAAATTCTGAGAGATTAAAACAAAAAATACTTAAAATGGCATACACTTGCACTAATAGATTAATAATAATTGATATTGTTTGAATTGTAGTGGTTTTCATCTTTCATTATAGCTATTTTAATTATTAGAGGGAACCAAAATGATTCCATGTTACAACTCATGCTACAGTTTTTACATGCCTGATCCATTTCCACTACGCACTCGCACTGCTATTAGCCTAAAAAACGGAATTAATAGAAGATACGACAATTAAAAACGACAAGATACTTCATAGAGAACAAAAAAGTACATATACATTCAGTGACACGTTGATTACCCTATTAAAATGTAAGGGCAAATAGTTCATGTTTTATCCCGCCAAGAAACAGCAAAAAAAAACTTAACAAGCAGAACATAAATATACGGATATGCAGTTCATACGACCCACTTAATACATATCCTTAAAAGTTTTTTTAAAGAAACTGACAACACCGCGTTTTCTTTTCTTTTTCTCCTCCTTAGGGCTTCTGGGGAACGATACACGTGTGACCATTCTTCAGATACGTGAGTAACAAACATATAAGGAAAGTTATTATAAGATGTTGACACGAATTCTTATCAATGCACCCAACAAGAGACCAAAAAAAAAA